CAGAAGCCAGCGGCAACCAATCTCGGGGGGGGGGAAGTAAGGGGGGGGCATGTGCCCCCCCACCCCACGTCACCTATGGATTTGCCAAAGGCTATCCACCAGGTCCACTGGATTCCATATTAGTGCTCTATCCTGTCAGCCATATTGTCTCCTGACCTGGAGAAACGCTGAGTATGATACTGCAATGTACTTTGCATATAGTGTTTTGTGAGTGCTTCAAGGAACCGCTAGTGGCATAAAAAGACAGAGCAAACTCATATTTACTTAGAAGCTTAAACAAAGGCAAAGAAAAAGACAACATTAAGATGACACTTTATTTCCCACATGTTGGCAGGTATGATTCATTTTACTACCTCTGTCTAGTGATAAGAGGTCCTTTTAACCTGTTAAATCTGACTTAACTTCGTTTTGGGTTCTTGGCAACATATTTCAAAATTATTGTACAAAATGACTGTATTCCTTTCTTTTCTCCTGATCTTAATTTTAATACATTGTATTATCTTAGTCATTCCCAATACTTCCTGTTTGGTATTTATTTTTCTTCAGTTCCACACCCATACATGGTTTGTTTTTCTTGAAAGGACAATCTTTGGGAAAGTTATTATTTTCCCTTCTCCAGCACGAAACACACTAGGAAACTATTAAGGCTGATTATTCCCTTACTTATTAGCTTAACATTATGTTTACTGAAAGGCCGATCCTATCCATGTTAACTATAAAATTCGACATGTTCACCCATTAAATTGCTCTCCTCCCCACAATCTATGTTGATTTTCTTCCTTGTGCTCCTTGATGCCCTGTTTACAATTAATTTACTGTCTCCACCAGACTCAACAGCACATGTACAACCTTGGCTCCAACCCATTAGTCACTTGCCAACCACAAAACAGTATTATATTCTAAAAGGGCCCATTTATCCTGGTGCTAGTCAAAAGCATTAGTCACAATTCTGAAGGGTGAAGAGAGCAATAGAGATATAGGGCAGCCAGAAAGAATTCAGTGGGGTATATGAGGGGCCACAGTGGAGATGAGAAGGGCCAGGTTACAGAGCTAGGGCCGGAGATCAGAGTCCTTATGCTGAGACAACAACAGAAGAATAGCTTCTTCTAGCATGACTCCCTGGCACACAAGCAGCACTGACAGTGACCTGTTTGTTAGTGCATCAGCACCGTAGGACTTCACTCCTCATAAAGCCACTGCCTGGTGCAGAGGACAGGCAAGGCCACAATGGCTATGGAAATGACTGTGTCTGCATCGATTCATCAGTACTTTAAAAACCTCTTCAGTAGGATCAGGAAAAAAATGAGGGTGCCTGTACACATGCTGGGAGGCTGCTCTGACCTACTGTAATTATAACGTGTTGGAGCAAACGCGATTAAATCGAGTCTGCGGAAGTGTGCTAATTAACATGCTCCAGCCAGCCTCCACATCTTGTGTATCAGCATCCCCACTGTTCAAAATGGTGGTGGGGGCACTTTAAAGCTCATTCATTGAGCTTAAAGTCCCCTAACTGCCATTTTGAAGCAGGCATCTACCCCAACTGTGTTTCTGGAAGTTGAGTTTAGGCACAAACATTTGAATCACTCAAGCTTCACGAAGTGGTTAACAAACAAAAGATATCCTTCCTGTTGACAGCAGGTTCAACAAGTAAGTGAGCAATAAATTTACCTTTAAGTGTTATCCAATACTGCTTCCACTTTCTTCGGGCAACCAGCTCAAGCTTTTTCTCTTTCTGTAGAGTTACTAGCGGTTTGAAGAAGAGCCACCCTGCTTTGCGCACAACTCCCTGTTCTTTTTCATACAGCAGATCCAGTTGCTCCAAGGAGCTGAGTGATTCACTGCTGGAGTCCTCCATTTCAGTCGATGTGTCTGTGTTCTCAACATTAGTCCTGCTTATGTCAAGCTCCCGCATGAAATTTTCATAAATGTTCTGCCTCAACACATCACTGCTGATTGCATTAGTGGATTCACTTTTCTGTGACAGAATGGGACCAGAGCCAGGTGACCACAGCAAACTGGATACCTGTGGTGGCGCCAGAGTATCCGTAGCAAAGTTATCAATTCTGCTGTCAAAATACTCGCTGCCTTCTTTGGCTTTTGGCTCCTGTTAAATAAAGCAAATTGCAAGGAATCAAATGACTTGAGGGACAGTGAGGAGGAATTTTATAGCAGCTTTTTTTTTTTTTTTTTTTTTTTTTTGTTT